TTTTTTTTCCCCTTTATGACCAGAAATTGTTGGCTTTCAAAACACTTTGAGTCAAAGTAGAACTACTTTGCATTTGAACAGGCCTTGCGGAGAATGCATTTTCAGATTCTCTTCCCCAACTTTTAAAGAAGGGCAGAGCCACCTAAAGCACTGCTGTACCAGTAACCTATGGAAAGCAGAAGACATGCTCGGAAAGCTACTCCCAAGACCAGCGGGGAATACAAATCCAAGCTAAAATTTAACCTACAAGTAGCAGGTAACAGTGCTAAAGGGAGCACTGACAAGGTACTCTCAGGAGAATATTCCCCTCGATACATCCATGAACAAGTTCTGCACCTCTTTAATGTTCATTTTTACATGGACATGGTTAAATATAGCGGTGCCCTAACGCAGAAATGCTGTGGACGCCAATATAAACTTTCTTTCACATTCTCCTTTCCTAAAGAGGAAGACTTCAGCTGTTCGATACTGAGAGGCTTCAATGATCAACCTTCTTTGAAAACTTGTTGTCCTTTCTTAATATATATTTGTGTTTTTTTAAACCCAATTGACCTTCTCCAGTTCTTCTATACCAGAAACATACCTGGAACTTCAGAAATAGGGCTAAGACAGGTAAAATATATCACCTTAAGTACATATGCCTGGAGTACTAAAATTTGTAAAACTTTCATATATTGTTTCAATAGAGAAGTAAGAAATCTGCTAACGTGGCCTTTACATGACATTTCATGGTATAAGAAGTTATCGCACAATGTAAAACAATACTTTTTTGCCATAGAGTCTTCACCTATAGATAAACCTTCCTTACTGGTTGTTCAGTGATTGAATTTATCCTTCCAGACGTACTTTTAAGGCAAACTTTCTATTACCGCAACCCACTGTAAAACAAGTCAGTTAAGCTCTTACAAGGATGCTGCACATATGAATCACTCTTACATGCTGCTAAATTCTCACCGAAGAATTTTAAACCAATATTGAGATCCAACTAATAAAAAAGGACAGATGTCCTCAAGAAATTTAAGAAAGGTGAAGCAGCCAAACTTCTGCCTTGCTTCTTAACAAGTCTACATTATTTGCATAGGTTACATAAGTAAGATTTTTAAAAACGATGTTGTCAACATTTCAGTGCTGTTTCTAGTAAAAATAGCTTTCAAGAGTAAGCAACACAGTTATAGACACAATAAATCAGGGTATTTCTAAATAAGTATCTCGGGTTTTATCACGTCAAGCTCCTTGAAAACAACAGTACATTTAAGGATTATGAAGAATACGTATGTCCTTTTCGAGGAAGACTTAAGTGGGAGTACTACAGGTCACTTTTCAACTGTGATTAGCCACACTGTGACCTTTCTCCTCCTTTAGGAAAGTACATGGCATTGACCACATTTTATATTATCCGAGCATACAAAGCAGCTTTTAACCATGGTCAAGATGCATTATGTAAGCAAATTCCTCATTTGAGTTATCATGAAACTATAACCAGAGATTTTTCAAAACGGGACACAAAAACCAGCAGAGTCTCTTGTAAAAAGTCATTCAGAGATCTGTTCCCTCTGAAAATTATCCATTTGACCTACCTTGAACTGCCAGTTCTGCCTGAGCTTCAATGGTCTCGTTGCCGTTATCCGCTACACAGGTGTACGTCCCGACGTCCTCCTCCCTGACACCACGGATCTCCAGGCTGCCTCCCGCAAGCAGAAGAAATCTTTCATAGCTGCACAAAACAGGACACAGCGGTGATGTGATGGACAAATCGACTTAAACAGAGGAGCACACACAAGTCCTCTGCCTGAAACATCTGCATAAACTGAACAAGTGTTTACATATCCTATTTCTGGGTGCCATTTACAAGGAGCCGTGTTAAAGAAGGATTTTTAACTAGGTGGTCAAAATCCATACTTTGGCTTCACATTTAAAGTTAAGTTCAACTACATCAATTCCACAAGAGTGGCTCATCTTTTTGTGCTTTCAGCTTCAGTTCTTAATTAAATGTCATCCAAGATATTTAGACAACAGGAACTAAAACTTAATAAAAACGAAATAACACAACCACACCATAGAAAAAAAATAAATATCCATTTTGCAGATACAGCTGGAACGACTTATTGCTTCAAAAAGTGAACTGTAACATGCCAGACATGCCTGGACAACATAAGGGACAGCAATGTATATGGCGTTACGTATAGTAACTGAACTTTTGTAAAAAGATAACTATTTCACTAAGATGTAAGATTTCAGAATAAGATGCAGGTTAAAAATAATTTCTAAAGACAAATTCAACAAGTTTCTGTAGAGAATTTTCTCCCTCTGACTTGGAAAGGGTAGGGGGAAGGTTTATAACTCAGCCTCTAGAGACTATCTGGGGTTTATGCTAAATATAGTAGACAAACACTGCATTTTATGCCCAAAGCATCCACAATAAGATGCCAGTAACGTTACAAAAAAACCCAAGCCCAGACAACAAATCACGACTGGATGCTGATGCAAAACCACTCCTATTTGCAGCTTAAAAAAAAAAAAGTGAGAGTCTTCCTCTCGCATTAGCAAGCAATGGCTTAGCGGGCAGGAAAATATTAACTGAACAGCACATGACAACAATTAACCTTTTTGGTCTCTACAGAGAGGCCAATGTACAAAAATCAACCTAATTGCTTTCTCCATTTGAAATTTTATTAGAATTATGTTAGTAAAACCTGCTTAGAAAGGTACATTGTTAGGACACAAGGAGTTTTGACTCCCCTAGCCAATTACCACATTAACATTGATTTATGATACCATAATTGTTGATCGAATTTCTGATTCAATACATTTAAAAACTAAACAAACAAAATCATTATTGGAATTAAGTGAAAGAAACTAGTCTTAAAAGCCCTACCCAGGTGTATCCTAAGGAAAGGGATCCTGTTTCCACGACCTAATAATAGGAAGATTATAAAAAGTTTGTTTTGTAAGAGTTGCAGGGAATTTGAATGAAGATGCAAGTAAATTTGAAAAAAAAAAAAAGAGAAGCTTTAAAAAGAGGAATGCCTGAAGAAATAGTAGAGAAGTATGTGAACAGCATTGCATACACGTTCTAGCTAAGAGCAAAACAGCAAGAAGTTTGTTGTTAAACTTTTTTTGGAACTGCTCAGTGATTCAAGGACAGAAAGTTAGAAGATGAGAAGATATATCTTGGATTTATCATTGCAGGCAGAAGCCTCCTATCGTGAATCAGGCGAAAAATTAACATGCAAAATAAAAATAGGAGCTTTAGTGTTAACCAAAGAGAGCAAAGGACGATCCATCTCCTATCTGGAGCAAGAAAGCTCTGTACAAAGGAGGTGTGAAGTGGAGCTGCCAAAACTGTATCACTTCCCCCACTCCCTTCTACTTTCTATGTTCTATTCACCTGTATTCTATCCAGGTAAACTCTTCAGATTTAAACCACACAAGTCTGTTGAAGTTGGCACAAAGAAACTGAACCCAGAAGTCTCGGACTACATCACCACCAATCTGACCACCTAAGAGCACTCTAAGACATCTAAAAAGATCTAGGAAAACACTCTTCCCAATTCTTGAACCTCTGTCTGCATCTGGACACCGCCAGTCCTCGAACTCAGAAGAACTTCTCAAACGTTGTCACTGAAGCTCATTTGTGAGAATGGCACGTTAGACATGTTAAGGCTGCACTAACACCACGTCTAAGGAAAAATAAATGAGGAAGACAAGTCTGGACCTTGGCACAGCCATATGTGCAGTTTTGTATCTTATTATATCAAAGAGCTTCTTTGATTATTTGTTCTAGCATCCGTGGCAAATCAAATTAACCTGAGTAGCATATGATCTGTGGAAGGCTAAGATGAAAGCAGCAAGCAACGAAGCCAGTGAGTAGATCCACCAGTGACCAGTCAGGATACCAAACAGGAAGGCAGGCTCCGCTGCAAGAACGGGCTGGATGTGAGAAGCTGAGACTAACAAAACTGCAAAAAAATGATAAAGGCTATACAGAACGTTCAGTGTAATTTTGAGGACATATAGTGCCTTTTCTCAGATATCCACCAGCTTCCATCGTTATCCATCTAAAAGCAACACGTGCCGTACGAGGCTTGTTTTCCCATAGCCAGCCTCTGGAAGAGTGAAGTCACCGTGCAGGGTGAGGCAGCAGGCTGTCATGGATACTAACCAGCAACTAAGACGTTGCTAAAACTATTTTAAAAAGTCACTAGACCTTGTCACATTAAGCAACAAAAGTTTGTCATGTGCATGTCACAAACCACTCGCAACATGACAGCATTTCCATGAATTCTCCTTTTTGTCAAGAAACAAGGTTACATAGTTTTCAGTCCTCTAAATTGTGCACTTCATAGAATCATAGAATGGTTTGGGTTGGAAGGGATCTCAAAGATCATCCAGTTCCAACCCCCCTGCCACGGGCAGGGACACCTTCCACTACACCAGGTTGCCCAAAGCCTCATCCAACCTGGCCTTGAACACCTCCAGGGATGGGAGCTTCACTTTTATTCTCTTTATTTTCCTCAAGAACACCTGGAGTTGAGTCTAGAGTCTGCCAATATATGATCCGATACAAGTTCACCGCTGTTAAAAACATGAAGAAAACCATCTGCCAGACTCCTCGGCCATTCCTTCTGTATGCATCAGCTGTGCAATAATTCTGGGCTTAAAGCAAAACTGCTTTTGTAATAAAGTAAAAACATCTTAATTTTCAAGGACAATGAAGCATTTCCACAAAAGAGTGAAGCAATCAGATTTCAGACACTGGAGACAAAGAAGCAGCTTAAAATAAAAGTGATAACATAATTTCAAGTGTCATTAAAAACCGCAAAGATTGATCATTCAAATGGGAATTTTGATCATTCAGGGAACAGCAAAATCAAATTCAAGCCTTTTGCGTGCAATTCCATACAGCCCTGAGTTACACACTCACAATATACAATCACTTGAGCTGCTCTGGATACCTAACTCACATGCTTTTTTTTATATTCATTATCACAAAAATATAGTGAGCCTTTATTAATTTACTGTATTCCACCAGCCAGTTATACCCTGAGGTTTGGGCTTTTTTTTTTTTTTCCCCCCTCTTTTAAATTACTATTCCCAAAACATCTTATAATCTATTTGCAGTCTTGGTAAAGTACAGCAGATAAAATTAGACAGTAAATTAGATTATTTTGTGGAATCTACTACCAGAAAAATCTCCATAATTACACTGCTATGTTTAACCTTTACTGAGTTGGGCAAGTGTAATTCAGTTAATACAAATCACTCGGAGTGCCTGGCAAACAACCACATGTAATAATTAAAAATATCACACATTCATGTCAAGTATTAAGGAAAAAACCCGCATTAAGAATATGTATGTGATCATACAATTAAACTTTATTTGAACGCAGTTTGAAAATTGTATTTTCTTCCATACAGCTGTCCAACTATAAATCAAGTTACACTATATATGCTGCTTGAGCAGCCACTGGAAAGGTTTCAAAGCAGAAAAACATCTTCCAAACATTCAAAACTCAGTGCCCATCTCTCAAGCTCTGAAAACCCATCTGAGCAGTCACCTCCCCTAAAACTTCACTTTTCAACTTCAGAGTCACCAAAAGCACAAAATTACTCCTGCGTTTGCTAACAAACAGACCCTCGGGCAGTAGGATCCTTAGCCAGACATGACACTTAAAAAACCAGTAACAATAAAATATATAGAGATATTTCTGAAAGGCTCAAAGCTGGCAAAACGTGAAAAACCACTCAACCTGTATTTAGCATGTCCATTAGAGCCTTTGTATCAGGTAATATTGACAATAAGGCAGATTTTACTTTAGAAGGACACAAGATTTATTCAAACAGCTTTACACTTCAGTGGCTTTTCCTACCACCTTCCATTTCTCTCGATATTTTCCACAATCCTGGCAGAGATATGACTCGTTCGGAGTTTACGGAGGAAACCCAGCGGAAAAAGCCGAAGGCGTATCCGTGTTGCTGCCAAGGGGTGGGTGTGCACCCGTAGTGCCCATCCTACCCTGAAGAACCAAAGCACTCATCCCATATCACAAGGCTGTGCAAATACATACAACGGGTTTACTTCTGCTTTGGTCTGCGTCTAGAGGCTCACTTCAGGTTTTGAGGCTCTAGTTTGGAGCTACAGGCATCAATCTCACCCTAGAACAGGGTTGAGCCTTTTTTGTTTCCTTCCTAACAATGTCGTTTTGAGGAAATTATTATGTATCGTGAAGATTAGAAGGCTGACCAGTAAGCCAGTTCAATGAAAGCTTTCATCACAGGTCAAATGTTTTTCCCAGTGACAGGTTATTGGGTCCTATTTTCAACTTTGTGATTTTTTTTTTTTTTTTCCCCTCTCTGAAATTGTGAACACGGTAAGAAAGGCCTCAAAGGCACAGGGCACACAGAGACCTTGCCTGCAGACAGTCTCACTCTTCGGCTCCTGAGGTCCGAGACTTCCTCAAGTCCTGGGTGGAATCTGAGTACTTCATCGTCTTTGATGGACTTCTTTATGAGGAATCAAAAAGTCAGCAGCCTAACCACCACTTTTATGTCTTTAAAATCTTTAAGGTAACAAGTTCTGAAGGATTCCTCCAAGTTGTAACACTTTCTCTACAATGGAAACTTTCAGCACTGCATTAACTTCACCACTTCCTCACTCAACACTCAAAGCTTTGCTCTCTTTCGCTCAGTTTGGAAAAAATATCTTATCACAGCAAACTAATTTCACAATCTATCGTCTAACAGGCTGCTTCAACAAGTGCCAAGACTGTCATCATTAAAGTTTACTCATATTTATCCATTAACATAAATCTTACTGCAGTCTTTGACAACTACTCCATCGAAATCAAACATCTCTTCTTTGAAGTCTTAAAACAAATGCTTAATTCCAAAACCCACCACTCCCAATGATGGAAAATAATCTATTTTTCCTACAAATACAGGCTCCTACACATATTCTCCTTAGCAATACAGCTCGAAAGGAAAACATTTCATTTCGTATTAGATTAATTGCCACAGCTAAAAAGGCAAAAGTAAAAGTAAAGGTTGCGTGCCTAAATCATTTAAGGGGTAAAAATTAACGGCACACCTGACCGTGCTATCGGAGTTTTGGTTCCTAACCCCATACATGCACACAGAGATGTATCAATATACGTGTGTGTATGTATACATATATGTCTGATAACACTTGTAGTGTCTGAGTTTAGACAAAAATCATGATTTAAGAGCTCTTCCCAGGCAGAACCTGTCCAGATGAAAAGGATCCGTTTATTTCTTGGGATAAAGAAAAGCCATGCTAATAAGAAAAGTCTTACTTTTATATCAAAAGAGGATTTTAATACAAATTAAATGTGATTTGATTTGTAATTAAACAGGCCATGCATAACAAGCTAAGGCACTTATTTTGCAGCAGTCTAACTGCAGGCTTCACTCCAACAAAGAATCTTAATTTTTATTTCTGGAGATTTTCCAGTTACTCTATTCAAAAGAATAATGTGACAGCTGTCGAGGTAAATGGAGTTTAAGAAGTTTTCATTGTCTGCTGTTTCAATTTCTTCTCTGTTAAGCCATAGTCATGAGTACCAGACTTAAGAGTTTTGGCACAGTTTGATCACTGTAACGAACAATGAAGGATGCTTACTTCTACAGAGTGGAAAAAAAAAATAAAGCAGACATTCTCCTTTATCCACCTTAAAAGTAAACTCTATAATGAGCACACGTTTCACTGTTAGAAAAAAAAAAAGCTAAGAGTTGTAACAAGGAAAAGAAATTCAAAATTTAAAAAAAATCAGTTTCATCAAAGTAACTTTACTCACTCAACTTCAGCCAGACTCAACAGGTTCTGTAAGTAACAGTAAGTCAAAAGAAACACTATTTCCATTGTTCAGAACCCTCATTTATTCCTTTTTGGCTCTATCCTTGAACAGAAAACATTCATTTCAAACGGAGGAGGAGTATTTCTTTGTCTTTTTGACTTTATCCTCCTTAGCGAACACACATCCAGAGGACGTGACAACCAGCAGATTCCAAGAACATCCCAGCACCTCCAGCTTTTGGTTTGGCGAGAAGCTTCCCCTGGGCTTGGCAGAGAACCTGCACAGCTCACTTGTTGCAGGAGAGAAGTGTTTAGTGAAAGGATGTTTGGGAAGACTGACAGCCCTGTGGCTCCTGCCTCACCGCGCAGTGTCCATGTGATGCTGGAAAGATGCTCAAGAAAAAGTGACTTGAAGCAAAGAGCTGATGAGAACACCAAGGAAGCGCTGTTCTGACAACCAGAGGCATTTGTACTTGCAGCAAAAGTCAACCAGAATCTGTCCTTGTAACAAAGGGATAAGATGCTAAAAACTTAATGCTAACTCTTCTGAACAATCTCTCCAATAACATTTCTTACTAGGAATTTTGGAAAAAAAAAAAAATTAGTGCAGCCCTCCGAAGTTATCATGACAACCTGCATAGAAAAGCTTGTAAGGGAATTAACAGCATTGTGTTCAGAGCAGGATTTGAAAAATCGGGTTCTATATCAAAAAATGAGAAGAAAATACAAAGGAGAGCTCTTTAACAAGTGAGCTTTAACCTCCTCGAGCGCTGAATGCAACACAACCTGGAGAAGGATGAGGCCGGGGGCGCAGAAATGGATCAAGATATGACATGACATCATTTTACGTACAAGAAAAACAAATTAAGATCTTAGCAGGCAACTTGTTCTGACATTTCACCACATCTGACTGTGCAACTCCAATGAGTCTGCACCGTCCTTCGTACGTGAATGATGTCTTGTATTTACAAAAAACGAATCCAAATCCCGTGCCATCGGACTGACATCAACGCAGTCTCTCAGCGGTATTAAAGCTGAGTCACTACCCACCGAAGCTTGCATTTTCCAGATCAAGACAGCTCCAATGACGAGCCCCTGGCTTTTTTAATTTAAGAGTTGACACAAAAGAGAGATCTATTACTATCACTGGGCCTGCAGGAAGACTGGCACGTTGCTTTAGCTGCTCTCTGTGTCGGCCATGCCACCGTACAATTTTACCCCTCGTTGTTTCCCGATTAACTTGCTTCTGCATTAATTTCATCATCAACTTGGAGGAATGTTGAGAACATTCAAGTCTCTGTTTCTAATTTTGTTGGTCTAAGTATGTTCGTTAGATGGACAAAAAGATACCTTGTCTTGACAAGATTTGTTCTGCTTTTTTACACATATTTTCTACCACGTTATTGTGAACGAATACACCAGCAATGACAAAGTAATACAGTAGTTTGCACTGAAAGCGTTCCTGAAAGGCCACAGGTTTTTTTAAACCATGCCTAACACATTAATATTCTGTTTTAATAAGAAATTATGAAATTCTGCTTTAAACACTTGTTCTTAAATTCTTACGGCGCATTTAGACACATCCTGGACATCCTCCTTGCAGAGAGTAACACAAGCACAGGGCTCCACACACACAACACGCCAGCGTAAGGAGGTCTTAACTTTTGTGCAGTGTCCTTATTCCCCTAATCGCTTCTTTTACTCCAGTGACAGTCTGACAGTAATATGTACTTAATAACCTTCCTGGTTCAAGTAAGATTTCTTGGTTTCAGGTGTCTGGAAAAAATACTATGAGATTGTTCCACGAATCTCAAGAGCTACCTTACTCGTCACAACGCTCCGTCTAGAAGCCCTCCAGCATTTGGAAAGCAGCTTCTGTTCTCCTGGTTTAAAACCAAGTAGAAAGTAAATTGTGCTCTCATCTAAAATGGTAACTCTGGCTGGATTCCTACTGTTATATAAAGATACATACGTTAGCCTTTACTCACCCTTCTGTGATAAGTTCTTCTTCGTTTCTTGTCCACTTGATATATGGAGTTGGAAATCCTACGGCAACGCATGGAAAAACCGCACTTTGCCCGGTCACTTTAGTAAGTGAAGAGGGCTGCCTCACAAACATCAAGTTCTGGGGCACCTCTGGATCTGCAAATATTTTGTAAATGACAAAATTATTACCATTTATTACCAAATGCAGAATCAGAAGATGATCATCTTAAAAAAAAAAACCAAACCACCACAGACAACACAAATGAAAACGTCTAATTTCCTTCTCATATCTTCACATGATTCAATTATCATCCTAACTCCACAAACTGTTTGCTCTGCAGAATCAGAAGATGATCATCTTAAAAAAAACCCAAACAAACCACCACAGACAACACAAATGAAAACATCTAATTTCCTTCCCATATCTTCACATGATTCAATCATCATCCTAACTCCACAAACTGTTTGCTCTAAGAGTCTCTCCCAGCCTCCCACATGAACAGCTCTTTTACTATTTCCTCCAGAAATAGTAAAGCTCTTTACTGTTTCCCATCACCACCGGGATTCTGACTCCTGAAATTCCCTAGGAAACAATTTCAGCTAAAAGTTACAGCCCTGAAACTGGAACACCAGCTAGCAGAGATTTAGTAAAGAAAGGTGTAAGTTTGACTTCGTTCAGCCAGCCTCAGGCAATCACCCGACTTCATCAAGTAGCTGCTTGAGAAAGTGCTTTAACGCACTGGAAAAATGAAATTATTGCAGTAGAGAGTCAACCCAAAGAGAAATAAAATAAATAGATCATTTGCACGCTGCAGTAATACAAGACTTATACTAAAACAAAAATCCACCATGGTTTTCCATCCTTATGGAAATAATGAAACCTCTGAATTAGTTTTGGGTTTGCTTGGAATTGAGCTGGAGAGGGGTGTGTTTCTTTTTTCTCCCCTCCCTTCAGAACAAGCACAAGCAAAGTGCCTATTTACTCTGATTTACTACAGGAAAAAGCCACTTTGCCCGTGAGAATTGAAAACATACCCACCGATAAAGGCTGTCCAGGAGTGTACTCCGAACTAAACTACCACAAACAAACATTCAGAACAAAGGGCTATTTTTCTGCTTTACTAAAAATATCCACGACTTCTCAAAATGTAACCTTAGGAGAAAGTTTCTAGAACTGGAACCAATTCACCAAGGGAGCCCAGTAACACCTTGACAGAAGAAGATGCCGTTTGTAACCTTTGCCCCTGCAGGAACTCCAGCACGTGCCTTGCACCGTAATTAGAGCAGATGAGTTCCTACATCCCAGCACTTCTGCCAACTGCTCAAAACCCCAGTGGTTATGCTGCATTAATTGCCGTATTCTCACTACTCAGAGGCACGCTGACAGGTTTGATGAGAAGCAAGCTCCAGAACTGGACGAGCTATTTTTGGCCCCCTAAACGGGGACAGCCTACTCTGTACCTGCACTACTTCCGCTCGCTGACGCCCGTGCTGTG